CGGCTGCTGCGGCATCGGCACGTACGGCATCGGCGCGGCCTGCTGGATCGCTGCAACTCCCGCTGCTTGCGCAGCCGCCGGTGGGATAAGACTCGCCATCAGCGCCTGCTGCTGCTCAGGGGTGAGCAGGTTCACGTCTACGGCGCCCCGCTGGATGAGATTCATAAGGAGTTGCGTGCTTTGCTGCTGCACCACCGCGGGTAGAAAATTCGCCGCCAGCGCCATCGCTGGAGCCTGTGGCTGCTGCAATTGCTGCTGAGGGTTGTTGGTATTGCCGCCACCGCCGCCGCCACCGCCACCACCATTGTTGTTGTTGTTGCTGCTGCTGTTGTTATTATTATTACTGGTGTTGTTGTACCCCTCTGGCCGTCCGACATTGCCTTTGCTCACCCCAACCTTAATCTTCCTACCGGCGAGCGTAAAGCCGTTGTACTTCATCGCCCGCGCACGATCATCCTCGGAGGCAAAGTCGATGAAGCCGTAGCGATACGGGTCCTCGTCCCTCCCGTTAAGGGAGCAGTCAATGATGGTACCACACTGAGAGAACACTTGACGGAGGACCTCCAACGTCACGCTACGGTCAATGTTGCCGATGTAGCAACCGAAACGTTGTTGATTTACCTGGGCCATTCGTGTTTGTCCTGTCCTTTTTTTCCCCTTTGTTCCTTTCTTTTCTTTGTCACTTCTTTCCCTCACTCTGTCACCCTAATGACGGATAGGCTCACACCCGCACTCTTCTGTTTTGTTTTTCTGAGTGCGTGTTATTGCAGTGAACGCAAAATTAAGAGAAAACGGCAAAGTCCAAAAGTGTGAGATTACCGCCTGACAAAAATCCAGAAAAACCGCCAAAACTTTTCTTCTTCCTCTTGTTGTTCTTCCTTTCACCTGCAAGCATGCAAGCAAGAGAGGTAATACAATAGAAAGAGAGTAAAAAACGAAGAAAGAGAGAAGCAAAGCACACTTCTGTGACCCCCAAAGATATCCACACTCACACATACACACACCCCAAACAAAAGAGGAGGGTGCAGCAGCAGCAGCAGCAGCACCCACCCCCCTTTACCACCACAGACGCACATATACGCACAGATAACTGCAGGGAACGCCTTGTATGCGTAAGAGAGAAAGAGGGGTGTGTGGGGTTGAGAGAGAATGTGTCCATTCCCTCTTTCCCTACACCCATTAAACGCTTCTCTGACTTCTCTTCAGTATTACTACTCCTTGATTAAAAAACTCCCGCTTCTTGCCTTTGAAGGAAGCAGCACCACACCACCAGCAGGAAGATGAAAATAGGGTCTACCTCCGCACCAACACTCCACAAGATGTGCAAACACCAGCGCAGACATACACGTTACGCTACTTCTAAGACGACAGCGATGATTTCTTGGCCGCCTTTCTCTTATTGGAAGCAGCTGCCTTCTTCTCCCGTTTGGCGGCGCCCTTGAGCTGCTGAGCCAGGTAGGCAGCGAAGGAATCCTTATTTATCACCTCGAGTTTCTGGTGAACGGAACGGTGACGCTCCATGAAGAGCTGGCGCGGCGGGTGGAAGTCGAAGGGCGCTATGTGCCGCAGCACCTCCTGCACATGCTCGGATTTATTGATGATCGTGTCGCAGAGGTCCTCGATGCACAGCACGTTGTATGCACCTAGTGCCTGCTCGAGCATCAGGTTGCCGCTGATGAGCCGCTTCGTCTGCGTCTCCTCGTTCCACAGGGCGGCGCGGGTGCGAAGCAGCTCCTCCAGCTGCGCAGGCTCGGGGTGACCCACAACGCAGAACGGCCCGAGCTGCTGTACCAGGTGGTCGCTGCGCGGGTCGAGGCACAGCAGCCGCGCAGCGTACAACTTCTCCAGTCCCAAGCGCCGGAACGCCGCGGCGACCTCGGGCGGGATCTGCTTACCCCGAGCCCGCACAATGAGGACCACGCGACTGTCGGCAAGGCGCTGCTTGTACTCGTTGGGTGGCGTGCGGCTCCGCTTGCCCTGCACCTTCTCGCCAATCTTGCGGAATACATGTCCCTGCCGCTCCTTGCGCTGCGCATGTTTCAATATAGTTTGCGCCGAGATGAACTTCTTCGCGGAGAGCTTCCGCTTCCGTTTCGCGTCCAGCTTCGCCTTGTGACGATCACGCCGCTCCTGCAGCTTATCTCGGCGCAGGACACGGTCTGCCCGCAGCTGCTCCACCGACTTGCGCTGCAGAAGGAGTGTCTCCTTCACCCGCTCCCCAGGCAGCCACTTAGGCGGATTTTTTCCCATCACTTCGCAACAAATGTCACAGAAGCAGCTACTTTACCACTAGCACCAGCGCAGCCACCGCAGCAGCAGCAGCAGCAGCACACACAACAACAACAGAGAGGAAAGAAGGCAAAAAAAAAAACGTGTAACACAATAGCACAGGGAAAAGAAGAAGTGAGCAACAGGAAGAAAACCAACAACAAGCGAAACGTGTTGAATGAGAAGCAAGAGACAGCTTCCGCGTCATGCCATGCAGACACCGTAGGGTGGCAGGGACAGTGGAAAAATAGGCACAGTGGAGTAATACTGCATTACAAATTAATTTCCGTCTTCTGTTATTTTTTTTTCCTGCTCAGTTAAACAAAAAAAAAAAAGAAGACACCTCGGAGCGCATTTCTTAAGTGGTGCAGAGTATTGTGTGTCGGCAGCGAAGCAAATATGATATAATTACGAGGCGAGAGCACCGCCTCCCTACCCCCCACACAGACCCACATATATATATATATATATGAGAAGCACGCTAATGAGGCCATGTTACTTCACCACCCCAGTGCCCTTCGAGAACGGCTCAGTGGCGCAGCAGGTGCAACTCTAGGAAAATTTTCCCCTGTGGTTCAAGTTTCCATTCGCCACTCACGTGTTCGCCTGCACTCGACGCCACGTGGGAGACAGGAATGACGACAGAGCCCATCACACGGTCCTTGCTGAGGTCATTCTTGTCCACAATAAAAATCTCCAGCGCATCGGTGTCGATGCTGTACACCTCAATCTCCGTCTCAAAGTCAAACGTGGGGTCGAGAGTCGAGCTAACATACGACGACTTCCTTACTTGCTTCCGCAGCCGCAACTGCACGTACGGATCGGACACACCCAGCCGCTCCATGTTCTTGAGCCCAGTGCACCGCTTAACAGTCACAAAGAGAGTGCCACCTCCCACGCACTCTGAGCAGATGCTGCCATTAACGTTCGAGCGTGTGCTGGGAGGCTCAATGCACCGCTCGCCCACTGCGCTCTGCTTTGCAAAGGTCTCCGACACCATGCGCGGCGGGGCGTGTGTAGGCGCCGACGTGGAATCATTCCTACTCCTGCCTGTGTATGGCAAAAACTCGGCTGAAATAATCAACCTCGCACGAAGCCGGTTATCCGAAACGTCTGGTTTCATCAAGAGACACGAGTGCTCTGCCAACTTGCTCTCAACCAGGGTTTGAATGGGCACGTCGCACTCCCCCAGACAAGGGTCACTCCCTGGCACATCAAAGTACAACCAGAAATGCAGCGTTCGCCCAATATCAAATAATACAAAGCTAAAAACATCATTCAGCTCGCTGTTCAGTCCCTTGTAGATCAGACTCTTGAAGCGTCGCTTCTTTGCTTCACTAGACACGGCGACCTTTATGTAGTAGGGTGTTGATTGTCTTTCCGACAAGCAGCGGTGGTACCAGTCCTCCACCCGTAACAGGTGAATGCGAAGGGTACCGAGAGCAGCATCTGCGCGCGTCACTGGTGCCTCGAATCCCGTCACCATTGGAATTGCAATCTTCTTTGGGTGCTCCATCCTCCCAAGGAGCGTGTCGCGGATGAAATTCCTCAAGTAAGTCTTTACTGGACCCAAAATGTCCAATGAGACTCCTGCGGCGGAGACTTCATAATCCGGTGTTCCCATACTCATGATCGACAATGAGAGCGCACCGAAGCAGGGCCACTGCGGAACGTGTGGTGAAAGCATGACACGTACTTTCATGTCAATTTCCAAGCGTCGCACATGCACGTGCAGATCAGGTCCTGGCACTTTAAAATGAAGATGGATATCCATATCACTATCCCATGAAAACGAAATGTCAAGCACAGATTCTTTGTCATTATATGGGTGATGCTGAATGCCATTGATCACAATGGGCTGGCTTCCCATTGAACACTGCTTGATGACAATGTCATAAACAAAAGAAGGCTTGGTGGCCTCCAACATCGGCTCTAGCATCTGACGAACAGAGTTTTCCGTTGCTAGGGAAATGGAATTCCACATGCCACCTATCAAGGTGTTGAGCCAGTGCACACGGTTTGCGCTTGGGTACTTTAGCCACTCCGGCAGCTCTTTTCCAAGAACTGCCTTGAGCTTCTCCAGGTCTTGGATCAGCATATTTGCCTGATTAGCTTCCATTAGTTCTCTTCTTCCCTCCTTGTTATGTAAATAGGTCACCACGCCTATCACCACAAGCATCTCCAGCAGCAATTGAAGGCCCAGCGCGTAGATGCACCGCAAAGCGAGCCACACACCAACGATGATGATCGGGAGAGGAGCCGAACCTTCCAATAGTTTCAGTTTTTGCTTCAACTGCTCATGTTCACTCTCTGACATCCTGGCGTACCGCTTTGCGCACCAAATGGCTATAGCGAGGGTGGATCCCCAGAATATATTTGACAGGTTTATAATATACCCTAGCATCTTTTAGATCACCTTTTTTATTGCGTGTGAAATGCCGTTGATGTATTTGGGGGTGAACCTTCGCTTTCACCTTGAACCACTCTGATTGGGCAGATGCGTTGTTATCTTTTTGTTTTATCGCGCAGAATAAGTGCGGTGAAATAGGAAAAGAGTGAGACGACCATAGTGACGGTGGTGATGGTGGTAGTGGTGGCTGTAGTGGAACGAAAGAGGCGGGTGGACTTGCAGCGGGAACCTCCAACAACATCATGTGAATATCAATTCGATTTTCTCTCGCCATTGTTTTTGTGTTCCCCTCCCTCTCCCCCCGCCGAGAGAGTCAGACAGACAGAGAGAGAGAGAAAGACAGATACACGTTCCCTTTCGCCGCTACTCACTCGAGAGGACAGTAAGCAACCGCGCCGCCGCATTCACCTCAACAAGCGTATCGGTCGCCACACACACCCACCACACAGTGATATGACCCAATGCACTGTCAAGGTGCTGCTGATCCAACCGAAGCGCGCCATTGGTGCGACAGGGCGAGACAAAAAAGGCCCAATCCGCATTGTACACGTGGCTTAAATGCATCGCCACAGATGGGATACGCGACTTGGCAGGATCTGCCAAAAGCTCATCTTGGAGTGTTCCACCACTGGAAATGGGGATGCGGGTGGGGTCCGTTTCGACGAGAAAGCAGGCCGCGATGGGTGTGCGGCTTAGCGGCACACGGGGCGGCGGCTTCGCTGCTGCCCCTGCCTCCTGTGCGCCCCCAAAGACCGAGACATCGCGCAGACGAATTATAACAGGGACAGGGACGCCAAAGTGCGAAGGGAGTGGCCATTGCCGCTCTGGGAGGCGAATCATATTATGCACGTCGGAGCCAGGTGTGGGGCTCAGTGGCTCAACCAAGGCCCACCGCCGCGTCTGTGAAAAACTTTCCACCAATTCTGTCTGATTCCAAACTTCGCCCTCAGCGCAGTGTAAGATCAAGGCATCGGCCGTCGCAACAGCACGGACCATGGCGGCACTGTTTTCGGTGCTCCTGTCAACATGCTGCGGACAAGGGAAGTGAAACCGAAGTGAATACATAGGGCCTGCTGGTATGGTGTACGCGGCCGCGTCGGCATTGAGACTCTCGCTACGACGTAAAAATTCCACGTTCCTCGCGTGTCCTTCCATTGCACAATGGTACAACACACCCAAGTAGAGCAAAAATAGCAGTAGCACCACCAGCGAACATCTGTCAAGCCAGTAGCGCCACGGCGGCAGCACCATAGTGCCTTGCCCCTATTGTCGCGAAGATTTATTCCTTTCTTATGTGTCTCTAGCGCCCCGCACCCCCCCCCCCCNCCCCCCCCCCTCAAGGCCAGTTTCAGGGGCATTGATACGCAAATGAAAACAAGGTGATGGACACAACAGGAACGACCGCACTCCTCTTTGTTTTTCTTACACAACGCATACACTCTTCACATTCCTTTCATGTTTTTTTTTTCATTTTCTGGCTCTCCTTTTGCCTACTCCCTGTTCATTTCAGCACATCATCGGAGCAAAGGAGACGTTGGCGCTGCTGGCGCAGATGCTCCGCAAACTCCTTGTCCGCCGCAGCCAAGTCCTCCACCTCGCCAGGCTCCTCAAACGCTGGGCTTGTCTTCTTGCGCCCCTCGCGCATCTCGCGCAGGACCTCGTCCTTCACGAAGTCAGGAACAGACGGGGATGCGAGCGTGTTGCCTGCTTCAAACCAGTAGTTCTCGCCGGTAGGTGTGCCGTCCCGCGTGTGGCGCCGGGCGTTCGTGTCCTCTGTGTGCGCCCGCATCAGCCGCTCCGCTGCAACACCGCTCATATGGCGCGAGAGACGCTCAGCGTAGTGCCCCTGCTGGTACTTTGTCAGCGCGCGCGGGTCCTGGTCGCCAAGCAGGCGGCGCGCCTCCTGCACATACTGCCGAAACTCCTGCTGGTCGTCCATGATACTTTCAAAGTAGGCCGCGGACTCCCCCGTCTGTCGACCCTCACGAACAGCCCGGTCAACGTGCCCTTTTATCCACTCCTCCGTCGTGTCCAGCACAAGAGTGCCATCCGTGTCTGCACCAGCATCGCGGGGTGGCGGCCTCTGTGATACGCATCGCTTTGGCAACATGATGCTCGGCACCACAGTGCAGCGGCAACGCATGAAAGCATCTCCGCCCGCTAAACGGCGCATAGTGCTATATAGTATGATCACCACGAACCTTCCTGCACCTACACACGAAAGTTAGCAAGTGGACGGCAGAGCCAATTCAACAAGACAGAACACTCCCACCCCCACACTCCTTTCTTTTTTTTTCTCTCGACTCGTTTCTCTCGCTACACAGACCGAAGAGGCAGCAGCAAACAGCATCAAACTCTCTGCGTGGGCTTTTTTTTTTACTCTCGAAGAGACATGTGAGTTGGAGAAACGTTGTACTTGTAAACGTACACGTCTGGCCGATGATGAAGACGATGCGCCTCGATTTCCTCCTCAAAGTACGGCTCCTGCACGAATCCCCTTTGTAATGGGTCAGAGAAGTTGGAGCGTGCTAGCTTGGCGAATGCACCCTGCTTCTTCTCTGTTGTGTGTGGCGCCCAGCTGACACGTCTCGCATGGCTGACGGCTTCCTTGCTGAAGAAGTCCTCCGTGCGGACAGAGAGGTGGCGGGCAGAAACAAGCAATGCCGCACCGCAACTGCCTGCCGATACTGCTGCCCTGCAAGCCAGCATCACTTCACTGCCTACTACTAAATCTTACTACCCCGATCTCCAACCACCCAACAGCAGAAACAACAAAATAGAAGCCAAATCCACCTGGCGGAGTGTTAGTGCTGTCAAATGTCATCTCATGGGAGCTTCCAACAGCACCAGAGAAAAAAATATTTTTAGCAATCCAATCGGAAAGAAATGAACAAAATAAAGGAAAAAAATTATTGTGAAGAGTACAAGAAGAATAAAAATCATTTAAAACGCTACAATTTTGATTCATTGCTGGAATGCTGAAGACGAAAAAAGAAAAAACGGTACTATAAGGGAAAGGAGCCGTCCAATTCCACCCAATTCATCCGCAGTAGACATCCATGGACAGAGACACCAAACGGACTTTGGGTTGTAACTGTTCTCTAACAACACAAGTCACACCACTTCACACAGCAGATCTTAAAGAAATCTTATTCCATACAGACATGCGACATATAGCAAGTTTGCTGTAGTCTAACAGCCATCATCTGGCACAGACAAAAAGAAAGCAGTGCCCAGAGAGAATGTCTCTCAGCACGTCCTGGTCGTGGAAGTGTGCGAGGCACACAGAGGGTCCCCTGGAAGCAGAAGTAAAGAATTTTGGGAGAATCCTCACAAGTTGTGTGCTCGCTGCAGAGCCAGGTATTTGACTAAAGGCCGAGCAGAGAAGTGCCGCAACTAAATGTTACTGAGCGTCACTCTGTTAATAGAAGGCGATAAAGCAGAACCTTCGGAACATTCAATGGCGCATTGCGCCCCTGCAACGGCCTCCCGGCGGTCACGCAATGCCCGAACCAGGGCTGCGCCGCAGCACGTACGTCGTGAAGAGACTTCTCCGGTTACTGAGAACCCCTACAGGCATGCCGGGAAAGGGCACTCCTAGGAAAGGGAACACGTAGAGCGCAACGGATGTGATCATAGCGAAGTGCAAGAGAGTGTCGGACAAGCACTTGGGCAACCCCACCGCTGGCGTCTAGTCCCGCCCAATCTCAGGATGAATGCCTTCTTTGTTGGCGTAATGAGTGCGTCCTTAATTTGCTTTTCTTATTTTCTTCTTTCAGGGGAAGCGTGCTGCTTCGGCCTTTCTTATCATGTCTGAGAAAAAAAGAGAGGTAAAACACGGAAGAAAATGCTGAGCGAAGGTAAACAAAATCAAGCCGTAGCCTCTCTTCTGGTAAACAAAACAAAAAAAAAGACAGTTTATCTCTCAATTGCACCTTTTCGCATGCACACCTTCGATGGAAAGACTCAGGTACCACAAAACGTAAAAATGAAATGGGCAGAGAATCAAACAAAAACGCAGAAAAGGGACCGGGCAAAGCACATCTCTCCAGCTATAACACATACACGAACAAACATATGAACAGGATCCTCAACCGATGATTGAGGTGCCCCGGGAGGCTTCTTGCTACGAACAGAAGTCATCAGGCGGGGAGGTGTCGTGTGGGTGTATCTGATCCATGCAAAGCCTTCTTGCAGGAGCAAACGGAGAGAGCGCCCTCGCCTTGATGGATCAACGTGAATCGAAAGAAGAGGGCCATTGTTGAGACGGCACCTGCTTCTGTCGCTTCCATGCTCAGAGGCATCCTCCTACAGCACCATTTCTTGTTTTTTTTCTTTAGCTTCTTTCCCTCACCTGCTCTTTTTTTTTTCTTTTTTTTTTTT